GATACCTAAGCCTCAGGTGAGGATGTAATTAGTGATCATCACTGAAAAGCTGGTTTTCCAGGACCAGGGATCAGATAGGAACACACATGGGCAAGAAAAGCTATTTGTGTATTTTTGTTATTATTAATTTTATTGCAACTTAATGGCCAGAGCTAGATTTTCTATACACAGAGTTGTTTGGTTAAACCACAGAAAAGCTGTATAAAATTTTTCAACAATAAAAAATGAATTTCCAATCAACATGCATCATTCCTTTCAGATAGGAAAAAAAAAAGGCATATAAAAAAAAACTATAACTAATTTAGAGACTTTTAAAATGCCTTTAAGATTAACTAAAATTTAAAATAAAATTATAATTTCAATCTAAGAAGTCAGCAAGTTTAATTTCAAAACTCATGAAAACCAAGCTCTTTCAGAGTTTTGCCATGGAAAAGTCCAGAATCCATACATTTTACAAAAAAGTGGAAAAATGCTGATGTGATGGTGACAGCTTTCAGTAGTTTGTATGCAAAAGCCAGTGTGTTAACTAAATAAGCTTTCTAAACAATAGCACTCCCTGACTTGAAGATTTAGGAGTTTTTTGTTTTAAACCTACTTTGGTGCATACATTGTTCTCTCCAATTAGTTGCAGTTTCCTGATGAACTCTGGTATTTCTAATAAAGGGTCTTGGCTAGTTTAATTTTGAAGCAATTGATGATTTTTATGGGGAAAAGTTAAATAAGAAACTCTGAGGATGTTAAAAAAATTAAATTATCAATTTTAAACAAAATTGCAAAAGAAGGTGGCATTATATCTTGATGTCTCCATCAAAGGATCTTCCTCATTCTGCAGCACAGGTTTCTGATACTCAGACTTTCTTCTGTGCCTCAGGCAACCACCAACCACAGACTGAGTGTGAAGACAGGCAGGGAAAGAACAGCTAGATACAGCTCTAAAAGCTGAAGTTAAAAAATGCTTGCTTTCCTACCAAGTTGAATATCATTGCCTCTCTTTCAACCTCCATAGCTCAACATGCTCCACTTGTTCCAAAATTTCACTGCTTTCACAATTATTATTCAGTGAAAAAAAAAATTGACCTTCATTTTAGGTATAAAATATCACTCTGAGGTATTTGTATGCACGTATGTATGTGTATGGTAAAACACAAGCATAAATAAATAAATTTTAAAAATCCATGTTTGGTCACAAAGAAATTGCATAACAGGCATGCCATGGATTCAGGGTTCTGTTCACCCCAATTTCTAGATTAGGAATGGGGTCATCTGGATGGCTCTCAGGATTCACAGTTACTGCCATGCTGACCACAAGTGCCTGAGATTTCTACCAGTCATTACAGGACCAAGAAGATCCTGAGGATTTAGTAGGAGAAAAGCCTAGGGCTCCCAGGTTGTCACTTCTTAAATTGTAGTGGTATTTGTCAGCAAGCAAACATTTCATTCCTCCTTCCCAGATATTTTGAAGCAGAAGTGAGTCAGAAAAGAGAGCCAAACCAAGATATTATTTTTGTGGCACGTTTATAAATACTCAGTTCCATAAGACAGCAGATTCAGAGAGCACTCCAAAGGATTGTCCTTCTTCAGGCATAAGGCATCATCATGGAAATATGCCTTTGGCTGTTGCAGTGATTTCCCTGGATTACAACTGAGTGTAAGCTAACAAGCTGGAAGAGTTCCATAGCATGGGAGTGAAGTGTTTCAGGCATCCAAAGCTGTGCTTTAGCACATGTTCCTGCCTAAATCTACTCAGGAGGGAGTCCTTTTGGAGATGGAGAGATAGTCCTGCAGTGAGAGGAAGTAATTATTTGTTGAATGCCAACAATGCCTCTCACTGTTATTCAAGCTATGTGGAAATAAGAAACCTACAAACAGAAAGTAAACTAGATGTAAACAGTTTCTGGTATTACCTGGAAAATCTCAAAGAATTCAGAAATAACAACTGCAATTGCTAATACCTTTTGGAAGGCCTTTAAGTTCATCTGTTTACAAGCTATGTACTTGAATTTATTTATTTTTTTTCACTATTTTACTGAAAATTAGGAAAGGAACTCAGTGCCTAAGCTCTTGAGAATAAATAGGTTTTGAAAAAGACCTTTTACTATACTTTTTTCATTTCAGAGGCTGATTAACAGAGAAAACAAGATCAAACAGGCAGAATTGGCATTGCATATGTCTGTATCACTTTTACCTTTGCCTCTGCTAATGCTGTAGTCAAGCAGAACAGAGGCCTGTTTCAAACATATATAGGAGAAAATATCTATTTGCATGAGAAATTTGGTAAAGTACTACAATCAGCTCAGATATAATAGAGGATTGTGATTCCAGGCACATTTCAGTCTCACTGTCTAGGTGATTTCTCTCTACAGAAGAGATTAATTTTTCTGTTGCACTAAGAAAATGAAAGAAATCTGGAATAGAAATGAGTAAAAGATTAATGTACTGTAAATCATTAAGTTGTCTTAGAGCAATTCACTTAAAAATCCCATTTCCATCTACATTAGTTTTAATTTCTTAAATAGTCAGTCACAGAATTTCATTAAAAAGAGACATGCCCATAAAATACTTACTTTTCCTTTCTTTTTAAGACTCCCAGTGACTCCTTCTCCATTGGCTGGCAGGACACAGTAACATATTAAGGATTTGAACTTCTTGGCCACATCTGTGTGCAGATCCCACCCTCCCCACCAGCTCACATCCCAAGTTGTGGGAAAAAAAAACACATGTGTACCCCTCCCATGGGTACACAACAACTTAGCATGGTGCTCTCTGGATCTGTGCTGCAATACATCATTAATGACATTTCTGTCATGTTCAGAGTGATTCTTGCCCCATGGCATAATAAAATATTTCCTATTCTGAGAATACAGTTGCTACAGCTTCTCTCCTCTTAGATGTCTCAACTGAGGTACAAAGTTAGCTGTGAAGTATCCATGAAATCACAGCAACAAAGTTTTGGGGAAAGGAGCTGGTTGATGAAGAAAAGTTAGGCTTGCTAAATTTGTTGGGCTTGGCCAAACAAAAACGAAAAGTAAAAGTAAAAGTAACTTGAAAGATAAACTGGAGAACTGCAAAGCAGGAATACCACTGGGGAAAATTGAATGGAACTGAGCAGAGGAAAATTTTGATAAAATATGCAATAAAAACAGAGCACTGATCCAGTTTGTCCCAAGGAATGGCTCTGTCCCCTCTGCTGCAAACCTCTAGCACAGAACAACTCAATAGGCTGCATCAGGAAATAATTCTATCATGTTAGGGTATAATATATATAAATATATGTAAGGGGAATGTGTGTTGTATAATTTTGTTTTGTGGGGAAATCCTCTAAGTAGGCCCTTTTCAGAGGTGAAAAGCCCTGGAATAAGGGCTCGGTGAGCAGAAGGCAGGTGTTCTCATTGGGGTAGCTTAGAAATTCAGTGTAACTTGGATAAAACACAAAGGGACAAGAAAGAACAACAACCCTTCTTCTTCAATAGGTTGCCAAAACCTAACATGGACAGAACATGCATGAGCTACTGTGAAGGAAACTACCTCAGCCCAAAGCAGTGCACCCCTACCTTAGGAAAGAATGACACAAAATGGCTAACTGGCATTTCTGAAGCACTTCAGAGGTCTCAGAAAAAAAACCAAAAAACAACAAAAAAGTATTTGTTATGAAAATGCTTGTTCTTGGGAATTACCAACCAAATATAAATGACAATGGGAAGCTTGGCAGTGGTTAAACAGTCCCAGGGAGTCCTCCATCCTTGCTATTTGGATCCTGAAAACAAACCTTGTAGGTGGGAGAATGAATGGACACACTTGTAAAAGAAGGTGGGAGCGGTGATGTGAGGCTAGATGACTGCCATAGCATGGCTGGAAAATTGGCCTCATACTATGCTGCATGCCCCAGAAGAAGAATTATATTGCTGAGAAATTAAGAGGTGGCTCTCATTCCACATGTAGGATTTGACCTGGTGGGAGAAGCTCTTTGAGTCCCTCTGGCAGTAAAGTGGCCCAATGGAAGAGATTCTGCAATCCCTTCTTGGAGCTAAATGTTCTTTGGGATTTTTCCCTCTGCCCAACAAGATGTTAAGCCCCATTCTATCCCCCTTCTGTCATCCAACAACTGTGTGTTTACCGAGATTAACTCAGCTGTATGTTTGCTGCCTGTCTGCATCAGTCCTTCCATGAGCAGCAGCCTTCCAGTCCTTTCCTCAGACACCACTGATGTTTCTGATCCCCCTCAACAGCTGTAATCTGAAAAACCATTCAGAGATGCTGAGGAATCAAATGTGTCCAATCCAAAGTGCCATTTCACTACTGAAATTGGCCCAGAAGTTTCTAATTTTCCCTCAAAAAAAATCCCCTTGAGAAAGATATTTTACCAAGTTTTTACCTGCTTAAAATAAAATATTTTATTCTCCTCAGTCCTCCTCCCTTCATGAAGGAGAGGGGGTTGAAAATTAAAATCTTCGGTTCCCTTTATTAAACACCTGGCTCATGGATGAAACAGAAAATAAGGAATGGGTATTTTTCCTCAGGGAAAAGAAGTGAAAGAGTAGAGGAAGTAGACAAATGAGCAAAGGGAAAAAAAAAACCAAACAACTGTGCCTCATTTTACATTAATTTTCCCTTACTATGAAAATACAGCATATCACAGTAAGTTTCCATACAGAAGCCTTTTACTCAGAACACACCCATTCTTCTTTGTAATACAATACATGTAAGAAGGGGTGATTTATTTATATTACAATGTTTATAGATAGTTTATGTATTTGTGATATAGAAGTCTAGATTCCTATGCTAAAATACTTTGTTTTTGATGTCATTCTTTCAGCATAATAGCTCTGGAATTAACGGATGTAAAAAAAAAAATTTCAACATGAGACCAAAAGAAATAAGCTATCCTACAAAGAACCAGAATAAAACATTAGATATGAAAACATAAATAAAAGAACAACCTTCCACCCTTGGTATAAAATGGCACGATAACCTACTGCCAGCTAGGCAGTACACAGGGGGCGCTACAGGAAGCACAGCATGTTCTCACCCCACTGCTCCCTCGTGCAGGTGCACTCCAGCTGCATGCGGATGTGGAGGTTCCTCGTGCACCTCTTCCCTGCAGTGCCCAGCTCTAGGTGGAGCTGTGTCCTCGGGGAGGAGTCATGGGTAGGAGCACCTGGTACACAACATCCTGCTCACGGGGACTCCAACCTTCAAAGGCACTGCCCACCCCAATGGCTTGTTGCAGCACGGGGTAGAAACTGCTGGACAAGACACGTTGAGAGTAAATTGTAAAACTGTCCATCAGGTCAGTTGTCCACTTGCATCCTCTCTGCAGGTCCTGTAGAGGCCACTCTACGCAATCCATTACCATACTTCCAAAGTTCTCGTCATGATCATGGTCTTCTTCAACTTCATTTCTGACATCGTTGTTGTTTGCTGCATTTGCAGCCTCATTGCCAACTTCATTTCCAACGTCACCTTCTTCATTAGCAGCAACATGGTCAACTTCCTGTGCCTCGCCATCTGCATTGTTGTTTTCCCCTCCATTCACATCATTGTCTTCTTCATTTCCAACATCCTCATTTCTAACACCTTCTTCGTTTGCATGCACATCTCTGACTTCCTCTTCATTTGCACCATCATTTGCTTCTTCATGCTCCTCTCTCCTCAGGCTCCTTTTCCTCCAGATACACCAGAGGGCCAAGAGAAGGAGCAGGAGCCCAGCAACAGCCCCGAGCTGCCAGTGCTGCAAGGCAGAGCAGAGCAGGTCTCCCCAGGCCCAGACACCCTGCTTCAGGGCCAGCTGCTCCACCTCCCGCTCCAGCCGAATCTTCTCCTCTTCCTGGAGCTTTGCATGCGCCTCCATTTGCAGGCATGTCACCTTGTCCAAGCCATCACCCACAGGCTGTGGGTACTGGACTACACTTTGCAAGAGCAAGAACCACAATACCCACGTATCCATGGTCTGCAAAAGGATGGAGAGAAGGCCTTGAGTGGCACAGGGAGGGAGGCAGCTGGCAGTGGGGGGAGCAGGGAATGCAATCCCAGGCATCTGGGGACAGGAAGGATAGGACCCCAGAGAGCTGGCAAGCAGCGAGGCCTGTCCCGCCGCAGCAGCAGCAGCAGCAGCAGCAGCATGGTGCCCTGCCCAAGGCTCTGCCATGAGTGGCTGTACCTGCCTGCAGGGGTTAGAAGCCAACCCCACGTGCAGCATTCCTGTCCTGGCCATTGTCCCCAGCCCAGCCTCCCTGCCACGTGTGCACTCACTGCTTGCCCAAGCAATACAGAGCCAGCGTTTCCTGCTGGGGAGTTTTAGAGCCGCCCCCATTGTGACATGTCCCCCATGATGTCACAGGTGTCACAGTACAGCACAGCCAGGCCAGCTCTGCCCTTTGTCCCCGTGCCAACTCAGCCACCCAGAGCGGCTCTGGTGTACTGCTCAAGGCAGCTTTTGAGTGAACCTTCTTCAAAGAATTTCTCTTGGTCTTTCTTTTGCCTTTCTTATCAGCTGCCTTCCATTGGCAATCCCATGGATATCCATGTTGGAAGGCAGCCTTGAGGATCATGGCGTCTAAGCCTTGACTCCATGCTGAGCTACAGTTAAATCTCTGAGTCTCTAGAAGGTGCACTTTGGTTTCAGGCTTCCTGATTCTCTGAACGATGAGCATGACAGCATCCTCTTGCTTCCCCACAACCACTTGTGTGGTAGGCCTCTGGGAGAGCGTTCATTTTTTCTGCTCCAGAAAGAGTTTCCCAGCACCATGACAAGACGTCCTGCATTAGAAAGATGTCTTTTGTGTGACCAGTTCCAAGTATATTGGTCTGTCTGCTTGTCCATAAATAGGCACAGCCACACAGAGTGCAGTGATGAACTGCCTTCCAAGAGTCACAGGCTGGTGTTGTTGGCCTTCCCCCTGATTGCTACCCATAAATCCTCAACCCAGTCTGCACCATCCTTAATATCTAGACAGTTGGAAGCCCATCTTACATAGATGGTGACCCCAGCACCTCTCCTTCCTTGCCTGTCCTTTCTGCAGGGTTATATATATATATATAAATAAAACAGAGGGTGCATAGGAGAGGGGACCATAGAGCAGACAGTTTGGGAAGTCTGTGCCTTCCGAGTACCTCCGGCAGTGTGGGAAGGAAGAGGAATTAGGATCAAAACGGAGGCTGTGCCCTTGTCCTGGGTCTCGACAATTCCAGATACCCCATGGGAATTGCATCATGGCCTCTCCCTTTATTCAAATAACGTTTCAGGACTCCTCTGTGTCTTTTCCAGACATAAACCTCTGGTGGTGTGAAGTTTTTCACACACAGGGAAATGCCCTGATCCTTCAGTGATCCTTCTCAAGCTCTTCTCCACTTTCTAACACATCAAGAGCTAAAGGGAGCTTTTGAGTGAACCTTCTTCAAAGAACTTCTCTGGGTATTTCTTTTGCCTTTCTTATCAGCTGCCTTCTATTGGTAATCTCATGGATATCCATGTTGGAAGGCAGCCTTGAGGATCATGGAGTCTAAGCCTTGACTCCATGCTGAGGTACTGTTAAATCTCTGAGTCTTCAAGGTTGTAAAAGTCCCAGAATTTCACATAGTGCAATTGTATACTTAAGACTGCTTCCTCCACGTAGCAGCCGGGTTCCAAAATTCTACATCCACATGACTTTTCACTCTGCCTAAGGGTGGGGACTCAACCATATCCTTGGGTAGCCTGTTCCCAAGCTTGATATCCTATTTGTTGAAAGAATCTAGTCTAAATCTGCTTTGGTGCATCTTGAGGTAATTTCCTCTGGTATTGTTCTTTGTTCCCTTGGAGAATATAATGACCCCCACCTGTCTACAATCTCCATTGAGAGAGCTGTAGAGAACTGTAAGGTCCCCCTGAGGTGCTTTTTCTCTGTGCTCAATCCCTGCACGTCCCTCTGCTGTTCATCAGACTTGTGTTCCAGACCATTCACCATCTCCATTTCCCTTCTGTGCACACACTCAAGCATCTTCATGTCTTTCTTGTCGTCAGGGAGGCATAACTGAATGCAGGATTTGAGGTACAGCCTC